TTTGTTGAATTGTAATTTTGTCTTTGTAATTCTGTACAATTAATTAAGTTATTGTTAATTGTTATTGGTTTATTGTATGTAGTTATTGTTCGGGACGAACAATATTAAGGAGGGGGCAGTGTTGCGTCAAGCGAGTCACATGACTGGTGTGGCGCCATCTATTTTCTAGAACTATCCTGTACCTTGGCGAATGCTCTAGTATTTACTAGATATAGGGTAGGCTGGTATATAAAAGAGGGTGACAACGTGACGGGAGAGTAATGTGTGTGTAGGTAATGAGTAATTGAACTGCGGTCAGAGAGAGACGTATTGTTGAAGTTAACGTTCGTTCGTTATAGTGTTTGTTATAGCGCGACTGTTGAAAATAAGTGTATCGTAAAGTTGTATTCTGAAAGAATAAACCAGTTTTATTAAGTAAGGACTTGTGTCGCTAAAGTTTCGTCGGAACGAAGTTACGGAAGGTTAATTAACAAACGGAGACGTAACAACACATTAAAACATTATTTAAAACTTTTTATAGCTCTAGCTAAACTGTTTGGCAACGATAAAATGAATTACGAGTAAAACCCACCAAATTTGTTCGTCACAGAAACAAATTAATAGGATCATTTTAATGTAAAAAGCCAAGTTTTGAAGTTTTTGAATATGTCTGTGTTGAAGGTTTTACGGATATTTTTTAAAAGAAAAACTCATCTAAGCTGTGATTTTTTCAAACAAAAGTCTGATGTTGGCCCCAGTAATAAAGAAAAGAAGGATCTCACATTAGTTTTATTTTTAAATTGTGTTTTAAACTCAAACCTATGATAGAAGAGTAAGTCAGTTAAGTACGTGAATATGCGAGTAAAAATTAATCTAAACTTAAATAACTTGCAAGACTATAAAAAATTAATTAATATTTCCTACCACACACAGTAGTGTTTAATGAATGTATTAAAACTTTTCTTCCTGAATATATTTTAATTCAACCCCAGAGCTACGGAGATTTCTGTGGATCATTAGTTTGTTAGTAATGTCTTAGGCCTATTGGCGACAACTGAATTGACAACATTTGTGAATTTGTTTCTAAAAATTGCAGGTTTCCACACTTGTTGTAATAGTGTGTGAAAAAATTAATTTTTTGTTTCTATATTTGTGGTAAAATACATACAAGACTAGGTATGAAATGAATATTTTATTCGTAATTCTTAAACAAACAATACTTCTAAACTTCAGAGAACTATTTCAGCATAAAAATTACATCAACATACTCCAAATCAAATGAAGTTTGTTTGTTTTTCACTTTCCTTAACCTCATGGTTTGGATATGGCACATTATCAAACCTTGTATACACAGTGCTGACGTTTATCATGTATGTGTGTTGAACTCTTTAAATCAAGCTAATCTTGTTTGAAAACAAATGGTAAGATATGCTCACTCAAAACAAAGACGCACCTAGGACTACAGAAAAGTCGAACTATCCATTTATAAATAACATACAAACGGTGGGCTTCACAGTAAAGAAATTAGGAATTCCAAAAGGAAAAACAAACGGGAACTATTTGGTTTTGAGGAGAAAATTACGAACGTAAACAATTAACACCAAAAACTGTATTTCCATCCTATCTAATACAAAACACAAACTAGCAAGTCAACAACATCGAATGCAAGTATTGTTTAATAAACGTAGCTTTCAAACATATCGTGAAATACCAATATTTCACAAAGTAATTGTATAAAATGTTTACCTTTTACACAACATGATTATAAAGTGACTAACTTAAAGATAGTTTCGAACAGAGTCTGTTTTAATGATAAAGGTTCTCGTTTAGTAAAAATATTATATAAATAATATTGCTTAGAAATATAACTTTAAATGTTATACTGAAATAAAATGACATGAAATACGCATATACCTTATATTGTTTTGTTGACCACAAGTTGTTTTATGTGAAAAAAAATACCATTTACTTTTTATATCCACATCACTTAACGTTTGTTTTTGTAACGATTTGGATTAGTGATTTGTTACTTAATATAATGCTACTTACTTTTCTCAGAATTTTTATTTTGTCTGAATTTTGCAACTGCAATACTAATACAAAAATGAGAATATTTCATAAAAAAAACACAACAAATAATTAATCGAGTATTTCTTTACTAACAAGTTCTTATTACTAAATCATCTAACAGTTGCCAGAGACATCTACAAAATGAAAAAAGGATTTAATAATAGATTACTAACAAAAGCATAATTCATTTTTTGTTGCTATACGATCTTACCTCATAGTTAGTAAAAAAATACTGAAGTGCTTCATAACAGCAATGACGTTCAATTATATATATTCATGATGTCAGAAAAAAAGTAAGTTCAAGAAGTCTTGATACAAGATGATAAAAATCCTATAACCCGGGCGCTTTCGAAAGGTGGACCAAACTGAGATTTCCAGTTTGCGCCTGAAGAGAGGAAAGGTTCAATTATACAGATATTTAAAAAACTACATCATAAAGCATGGTTCAGGTAAGCAGTTACTCCTATAAAAACATACATTATTTATGTTTTTACGAAGGACTGTTTTGTTTGCTTTACGCCTTGTGATTAAATAATAGTTATTAATAAAATCTTTTGAACAAGAAACCTCATGCTTGTACTTCACTTAGCCTAACTCCCATTATCACAAACACAAGTCCTCCTTTACTTTAACCGAAATCTTCTTGCTATACTAACACTGCGAGCTAAATTGTTTCCTGTTCACCAGGTCGAGTTCGCAATTCACTTATTTACAGGTTCACAATTTCCAGTTAACACTACAGCCCTCAATTAATAATTTGAGTTCGACAACTCCATTTTATCAATCCTAATAGCCCACGGTTACTAATTTCAACTCTACGAGTACTATCCCACCTCATTAATTCTAAACTCTAAAACCCATCTCGTTAGTCCTAAACACTACAGTTCTCGCGCAGTTACTAATTTGAATTCTATGACCCCACTTCATTAATCTTAAATATTACAGCTCACAGTTTCTAATTTGACCTCTATGAAACAACCTCATTAATGTTAAACACTATGGACTGATAGTTAATACAGGATTTTCAGCTTTTACAATAGTAGGTTGAATATCAGTAACACTGAAAGATTCATAGAGTGTAGAAGAAAGTTAAAAACACGCCGATTATTAGAGCCTAACACTGATTTCGTTTCTTTGATAAAAGCAGAAGTCAGGATGAACGATTTATTTCAAAGTTTAAAAACATTACATATATTTTCCAACCAGTAAAAGTTGTAGAGCGAGAATTGCGTAGATTAGATTAAAACCTTTATTACTTTTTAACACAAATACATATTTATATTTATAATTTACTCTAAGAGTATATTTTTAAAAAATGTTATGCCTCAGAAATTATTGAAAGTTTTTATTCGCAAAATGTCGCAAGCTTCAATAAAAATACGTCATTAATATTAGTTGGTTACGCAATATGAATTTTATAAAAAAATGTTGAAAATAACTGAGTAATTTATATTAGTTTAGCTGGTTTAATTGATAATTTCAAAACAATAACTTATTCGTCAATAGGAAAGTATAATACAATTCATAATGACGTTTAATTAAACATTTTAAATAATGATATGAGTGATAATGTTACTTTAACACAGAAACGATGTCCCCCGTTGGGACAGCGGTAAGTCTTCGGATTTACAACGCTAAAGTCAGGGGATCGATTCCCCTCGGTAGACACAGCAGATAGCCTGATGTTGCTTTGCTCTATGAAAATACACAAAAACGAAGAATGGTAAATTTAATTCTAAGTTATAAACTAATATACCGAGATGTCGGTTAATTTCTTCTGCTCCAAAACGTTTGAATACAATAATAATTTAGTCTAACAATACGTCAGATTATTTTGTTTCGGGTTATTATTACTAATATAATTATTATTACAATAATAATTTAGTCTAACAATACGTCAGATTATTTTGTTTCGGGTTATTATTACTAATATAAATATAACAATTTGCTAAGACCATTTTTACTGCCTAAATACAAATATAGAATGACCAGTTTGGAAGACGGTACTTTAAAATAATTGTTTTTGAAGCAATAAAAACGTTAATTTCTGGAACATCTTACAGATAACTTGAATACCTGTTTCATCAACAACTTGAATCACGTAAAACAAACGAAATATCAAATTATATAATTCTAGGTTATACCTGGAAGACTAAAACGTTTTGGTATTTTCACGTGCGCGAAAAAATGACATCTAATGTTATCAAACTAGGTCACTATAAAATGACATAATCAAAAAGTTAGTGTTTCTAACTTTGGAAACTTAAAGAAAATTCGTATTAAATTTTTGTAACCACATTACAATAATCAATCAGTTGTTATTTTATTATTTATAGAATTTCTTTAATACAAAAATATCTTTCATGATATTAAAGTATGATAATCCTTTGATATTTTAAATTTATTACATGGACAGAACGATGGCATGAAGGAATGTCATTTTCTTCCATTGGAAAACAAGAAACAATATAAATGATATAAACATCCAAATATGTCAGTCATTTGTTTTGTACTACATAGGACAGGTTACAAGAAGGCAATGGAGAAAACTACTATGAAAGTTTATGGCATTAATGTGAAGTGTATGAACAGTTGTAACTTTAGTTCACATATCACTGAAACTACAGGGTGTTCCAAATATCTGACCACACAGGGAAATGAGACTCTTCCCATGATCTTGCTCAATGTGTTGTCATTGGAGGACAGGACACAGGTGTGAGGCTGGACGTTTGGGATTTCTCAATGTTCATCTTCTGTGCAAAATATTCTTCATTTTATCAAGTTACAATCCTATTCTGACAAAATGCTTCATATGCATAGATATAATACAATTTTGTACTAAAATGTTTAAGAACCATTATTTTTGCAAAGTTAAAATTCATCAAAAAATTAAAATAAATCTCATCAAATGCGCTTCAAGAAGAAAACAAATTAAATTAATACAGATGTTATTATATGAAAAACATTAAACAGAACACCAAGATTTTTCCAAAGACTAGCACTGGACTTCAAAATTGTTCCTAACTACTAAATCACAGAACATAATGATTGGGGTTTGTTTTGTTTTTTTCTTGTGTATTGGATCCCTTTTAAATATGGCACCTATAGATAACAAATATAAAAAATATTTGTCTAAGATGAAAATAAGGACTCCAATGATAAAGCACTTAAAAATACGTAGGACTCGCTGTTTAACTCTAACATAAGGTGATAAAAATAGAGCTCTCTGATTTTTTGTGAATTTTTTTTTCGTAAGCAATCTACTAAACCCGAGTGATTTTTCATCTCTACTTCCTCATTCTTGACTTTTTTTGTACATAAATAAGAATTATTTAAATCGATAAGTATTTTTCTCAGTTGTGTGTTTTCTTTTCAATGAAGAAGTTCTAAACTTCGCATCTCTTCCGCTAAATGACACGAAGGTTTTGATAGGTAGGCTAACGAGCTTTCAGTAAGTCTATGAACGGATGAGGTCCCTCTGGTTTCGATATTGAATTCGCAGGTGCATCTGCTAGGAAAGTAAAAATACAGATATTTTTCAGAACTGTGTTTAACATTGCGAAAAAGTAAGTACACAGTAGTATCAGATAATATGTTTTTAAATAATAACTAAGTTTAAGAACTTCCATTTATAAAATAACTTTTAAATGTATTTAAACGTATAAAACTAACACAAACAGTATCTGTGTTTCGTCACCGTTCTTTCACCTAAGGGTGAGGAAAAAGTCAAAACAGGAAAGAAAAAATAATTTCATTTTATCCAAGTATGTTACGTGTTAGAAAGAAACTATCCTTAAAAATAAAATATATCTTGAGAGGTAGGAAGATAATGTTTTAGCTTTAAGGCCTGTATTATATGGTATTGATATTTCCCACCTGAACAGCACTTATGCGACACATGGGCCAATGGAAATTCCGCCAAAGAGAGCAACCTGTAAGCAGTACACGTCGCCTATTATATGGATACTCTTAATTCAATAGGACTGACTGTCACAGTTATAACCTCTCTATCGCTGAAAATGCGGTGGAGGTTCAGCAGCATATCGTGGCTCAAAATTTGGACTTTCAGGTAGTTAACCCGGCACTGTAATCATTAAGCTACGACTAGTTTATTGTATTATGTATTATTTTACTTTAAAAACCAAAGCAAACACTTTATCCTTTTACTTAAAAATTAGCACAATCTCTAGATAATCTAGTGCAAATTATTTCCATATAAATATCTTACATAATAATAAACTTAGTTCTTAATTCTATCATTTACATAGAAGCATCATTTAATAGTTTAGAGACCAACAAGAGAAAACAAAATCCAATAAAGTGTTATATTATACTCAATATTTAAATGATCTCTTTTTATCCTTAAAAACACAACAGACCATTTTAAGAAACAGATTTTCGTAAATCGGTATAAACCGGAAGCCTGGTATCACAAGTTGTGAGGAACTAGCTAAAGTAATGTCGTTGAACTTTTTGTAGAGGAGATCATATAAGCTCCTTAAAGATAGAGTGTAAGAATATAAGCAATTTGTGTAATGGTTCAAGTTTAGAAGCCATTTAAATTTTTAATGTCGTGAATGAGGGTTCAATTGAGCAAGGAAGTCCGCAGTCAAATGAAGCCGACGCTATATGAGAATGATGTTTAATGCCCATCATAGCACGGTTTGTGTATTACGGCTCAAAACAATGGAAGGGTCATCTACGTCCCTACTTATAGCACTACTTTTTAAGCCTGACATTGAGGGGCATCTCTGCTAGTAAACAATGTATGATGATATTCGGTTAAAAAATTGTTTCTATTATTCAAGTAACATTATCTTTACCCTTTTTTCTCGAAAACGTAACATATCAGACATTATACTTGTAGTTATTACTATGAGTCAGAAATTACACTATTCATTCATAAAGAGACATTCACATATATTTTATTCTCTTTTTAAACACAATGTTTTTTGTTTTTGATGTATTCTGTGGGTTTTTACTAAAACATGGAATAAACTATATACCCTACCATCTATGTAATACAAGTGAAAAACATACAAAACTTCCCTACCAGTTACTATGTTTATTTGGAAGTATTACCAATTTGATTATAACTTAGCATTTCCTTAATACTTAAAACCACTTTTTATGGACTACATCATGTTAAAAGTACTATGTATTCCTTTGTAAGGGTAAAGAAATGTGTTTGTACAGCTGGTTTTACTTACTTATTTTTCACCTTTAATCATAAAAGGCGTATAAAAGATATCTACAAGAACTGATGAGCATGCAGAATTGAGGTTTATTGACAAATTTAAAGAAACGCGAATACTGGTTGTTTTAGGAATTTGTATTAGCTCGTCTGCATTTTTACAGAAATACAAAACGACATTTAACCATATATTTTTCTTTCGAATTTTTTTTTTTTGACAATCTTAAGATGCTTCTACTCTGGCTATATCTTTCATGTTTTCTACACAAGTCGCATCCCCGATGCTGCAATGATTTACAAAACCAAACAATGATCTATAACCTTTTTTCACTTCTGTACATTCCAGCCATTCGGTTATCGAGATTGTTTTGTCGTTGTTTCCTAGTTTGTCACAGAACTTCAAGAAATTTCGCCAGCATTTCTTAAGTCTTTTCCGTCCTTTTTGGGGTTCTCTGAACGGTCTCCACTGTTGTTGAAACTGTTTTTCTTCTGGACCTGCTCTGTCTATCAGCTAGCCAAAATAGAAAGAACAGTGTTCTTGTATAATTCCAACCTTGTTGGAAGTGACTCAGTAAACATATAGCGGTACCTTTTTTTTTGTTTGTTTATTAAGAGTTGCAAAACGTTATACAAATTACATTTAGTATACTCTATTGCCGGACCACGGCTTAAGAAAGTGTAGTACAAATCGCCTAATGAATAACTAATAGAATAGCGGAGTGTAGAATCCAATTTTAAGAAATTGTTACACAAGAAAAAATAGGGCATTAAAGGATTGTATGAAATAAACACTGTTGCTCTTATCATCTAACAAAAATTTACAGTACTTTTCTTTTTAAAGTTCTAAATCTATAATAATAAAAGGGCGTGTCTGTGGTTCTGTGTGTGTGACCGCCATAACTCCAAGAGGGAAGAACCTAGAAACCTGAAATTTTGCAAACATACTAAATGGACCCTGAGAGTGTGCACCTGGGCAGTACTACTTATCCACGTGCGTGCGCATCTTTTTATGATGCAAGGTAGGGAAAACCACATAGAAAAGAAGTGGCTCCTTATATTACAAATTGAAATGACATAGAGACAGACAGGTACTCACATGCGCGCGTGTGCGGTGTGCACTTGGATATTATTACTTATATACTGAGTGGTCACAAGTAAATAGACACCTAATTTTTCGTCATTTAACTGATTTATGCTAACTAATTTGTGTTCACAGAGCACTATATAAATGAAAATGGTCCGCACACTAATTATCTTGTGCTACAACATGCCTACAACTCAAGGTTCTCTCGAATTGTCAGATTTTGTTAGAGGAAGGATAGTTGGTCAAGCAGATGGTGGAATAAGTGAGCGGCAAATTTCGCAGAATTTGGGAATCCCGCTTTCGACAGTCAACAGAATCATCGTGCAATTCAGGAAACACGACAAGGAAACAACTTAGCAGTGTCCGGGTCGTCCTGGTCCATCTGAGAGGACAAAAAGGGCT